AAATGTGTCCTTTTGGGGGGTGGTACTAAAAATTACATGGTTAAATGTTCATATCCTAAAGATATGGCAAATAAAGACGGGGAATTTTCTGTAGAACCTAAAAATTGTCTGATACTATGCTCACTGTAATTGCTTAGGTGCAAGATTGCTAATTTTTGCAAGTCAGTTTAATTTTCTGCGAGAAATGTAGTTTTTTTGGCATCTCCGCCATTTTGTTCGATTTAAACCAAAAGTGAACTTGACAATTCACAAGTGCTGACTGCAGGGCCATGCTGTCTAGTGGCAGTACAACCCGCCTAGGGCAAAAACTGACCAGCTGGAAGATGGAGGAAGCATAATTAACGAAAATCCTGGGCTCAAGACTTAAAAGTCCCCAGAGAATCGGTAGAATTTGGAGGCAAAGGTTTTTTTCTAATTTAGTGCTGCAGGTTAGCTCCAAGCAACCACAGCCACGCATAGATGACGGCGCCACCGCTCTGGTAGTGAAAGGCGAGGAGGCTAATGAACCCCTTGTAGTTAGTGAACTCCTTAAGCAGGCATTATATTACAGTGTTACTGTTTATGTTAATTTGTAGTGCCGGATCTGGCTCAGATTACTACACTCATTTAAAGTCATCTTAGTACTAATCGAAGCAGTTGTTAATACTAAGGTGAGGTTATGTGGCACCGAAGCCCTCTATGAAAACCTGATACGATGCACCAGGTCGAGATGTTGCTAGGATAAATAACAAAGATACAACCCCAAACCATCGTGATGGCAATTAAAGGCCTTCGCAAACCTGCTTACTGACCCTACAAACGAGATGCAAGGGAATATTTGTTCTGAAGAAAAAATATGTGCTAATCTAAGGCTATAAAGTGGCAGATGGAGGATTGATACTTGATTTCGTTTTATCTAGTCTTATCTTGTACTAACTTTCATGATATAAGGTGGCTCGAAAAATAATTGCTTGATACGAGTGACTTCAACTGACACTCGCTCTCACCCGATGACGTTGGAGATTTTAGTAAAATTAAACTTTTATGACTTCCCAAAAAAATCTTTATGGCTTAAGCTAAGCCGCTTCTTAAAGCACATTTAACTCGGTTCTACACAGCCACTGGTCTGTAACTGTTAGTCTTAAAAGGCACCAGAAAACCTCACACCTCAATCTCACCCAATATAGGGAATAAACTTACCCGTAGGAAGATTTGCCCTTTCGTATGGGAGAATGATTCTAACTGGTCCCCAATCTCCATCTGCTCCTAATAAAATTACTTCAAACTCAATGTGATTATCACCTCTCTTAATGTTAGACAACTGTGTTGCCAGGTTGTCACAGGTTTCAAAATTAAACGGAGAGAAGCCCGGTTTTTCCTGACCTCTTAAGTCAAACTATCTTTACACCCCCTAAACTTGAGTGTTTTTGTCTTTTTGGTAAGGCGACAAATGAATGAGTCGTAAAATCTTTCCATAAATCTTTAATTAATATAAGCGTCACATTGAAGGGTGTTCGTTTTCATAAATGATTGTGCTTCATTCAGTGTCCTCTCTCACATAAAAGTAAGTTCGTTTTTCATGGCATTTTATGACAGTATAGACAAGTTGTGTATCGACTACTGGTTGAATGATTATATAAACCACTGATGTAGTGGTGAAGTGGGAACTTTTTACCTCATACACAGGCACGCACTATCTCCATTGGCCAGCAGCCTCATTAACACTGACCTGGCAGGACCAAGACATTTCTGTTAACTACTACTAATGATAGAACACACTTGCTGTTTACTATGGACTGCAGTATCACCCCGATGGTCTGCCTTTTTATTGTAAATTAAAAGTCCCTATTTGACATTTTTACCACCTCCAATTCAAATGAGCGCTTCTCTGCACACACCCAGAAGCTCCCCCCAATTTTGTTCTAACATAGATTTTAACCATTCACATCAAATGTCTCACTTCTGTGACGTTTAAATTCTGTACTCATTCCTTTGGACTCGGCTTGCCTACTGCTGTCACCAAGGTAGCGCCAAAAGCTATCCCTATGGCTGTAATGAGTTAAGACTACACATGGGAAGACATTATTATCGCAAAGAACTGATAAGAGAATTTAAACAGGAAACCAAAAGCTTAACCCCAGGGAGGCAAACAAACCAAAGGGAGTGAATAACCCAAGGCCGTAGAAAACAAGTATTACTTGTGTTATAAGCCGTTGTTTATGTGCGTCAGTTTGGCTGTTGTTAAGAGCCAGACAAGTGAAATTAGGAGATAACACTTTAGGGAAACGCCAACATAGGAATTTTTACATATTGTTATAAGCGACCTTGTGAACTTACTTTAAATTTACACTCTCCACTTTAATGCCAAAATCTTCAATGCTGTTAATGCATAGAATACATAGGCGATTACCATTAACATAGACAGCCAAAAAGTCTCGTGCATGCTCAATAATATTTTGAATTAGTTAGATCTCATTTTTAAAGGAGGAACAAGTTTATGCTTTCAATCCGAAAGAAATTTTATCAATTGCCAAATTCAGCTAAAACCGCTGGCGATTTACTGTTTCCAAATGTTGCTTCGAGATACTAGTACAAGACGCACTAGTACACGTAGAAACTGGAAAAAAGTGTCTGCACGCACAACTTTTGCATTATTCAAGACTGGAATTTGGCGTGCTTTGGGATGAAAAAACCATGGGATCCTGCGATCTTTGTATAAATTTGCATAATATATAGCTGAGCTTACGCATTCGCTCATTTTCCTGATATTTTACTCGAAACGCTTTCAACATTTTTCATCCTTTCAGCGCGTGAATTATCCTGAAGCTTATAAATGTGTTACGCTTCAATTAAAAAGACGTAAGCTTTCCAGCTGAAAATATTAATATTCCTTGATTTACCAAAGAAAGCACTTTCATCAGGAGTGCTCTCTCAATTACTTGTTTAAATTTTCGAATGACGTATTTCTAAGCGCCCACAAGAAGTCGCTATTACAAATACCTACGCTAGTTTTCTAAGGAAAGTGTTGAGTAGTGCTGCTTCGTCCTTAGGTGCGAAGGGGTATTGGCCTCTACCACTAACTTGTGTAGTTATTATTTCGTGTTTTTAATTCGTGGGCTTTAGAATACAGGCATTTGTTGACAAGGCGCTTTAAGATCCCTAAGTCTGTCTGGTACAGAAACGCCTATTTTGTTACTTATAAATTCCAAGTAAACCTGATTTATTGTCACGGGTTTGGGTTCACCTCGTATGTTTCCGCACAAAATAATCAAATGACTTTGTGGGGTTGTGCAGTGAAGATGCGAAATTACTCCCCAAAGAACAGCCGACAACGGTGACAGTGTCGCCGACGATAGTGCTGAAGGCAACCAATAGCTGAAAGTAGGAGAAAAATTTTAAAAGCTCAGGTAATGGTTGCCAATTCATTATTCACTCCCCCATTAAGAAATTCCATATGATTCTTAGACTTAAAAAACAAATATTATAAGCACCAAATGTTTAAAATCTGATATGTGATGGTACTTGGTAAATTCAAGAAGGGTACTTTTCCTTCATTTCTCGGAGGCAATTAATTTGGGAAGGTTGATTTACGCGATCAATTGAGTGCAACGAAACTAGTACGCGAAGGTCCGACTTGTTTATCCGAGGCCGGCGCCACATATGTGTGACGTGGGTTCTTTGCTCGTAGAGAAAAAGCACTGGACGCACGAAATCACGTGACCAGCAGAATGAGCGATGGATGCAGGATGCTCCACACCCGAGGATAATTACACCTTTCTGGCTTTAAAGCAACAATTTATCCAGTCAATTCGGAGGTCCAAATATTAATGGTACGCTACAATGCTAAAAAATCCTGTCTCTGATAGTCGGTTCTTCTGTGCGACTAGGGTGGCAAAAGCGTTGCTCTTGCTGTTGTAGGGGCCTAGAGAATCTGGCTCTCACTCCGTGAATTGCCCACTAACACTCCACTTCATTTCCCTGCGTGTTCAAAGAATCGAATTTTGTTCCTCGAGCATTTGGACATCACGTAAGAGTATACGCCTCCTTAATGCATAATACGGAAGCGCATTTTTGCTTGTAGTCACCAATGGAGCAGTATTTGTATTTGTACACCTTTTCTCATGTGTATATAGTAAAAAAGCGCGTTGCATGGTAAAAATGACCATTAGGTGATCAAAAAAGTTCATGCCATTGTCGATGCAGTTCGCTACAATAAATTGCCACAAATTTCTCATTCTCCACCTTGGGATGGTGAGGAAAGAGGAAAATTTTTACGAGCGATGATGATTGTTACCTTTTCTTGCCACTAGTCAGTCACCGGCCGGAGAGTGTTTTTTTCTGAAGAAATGGAATGGAAATTTTGCACTAAGCTTGTGGCACCTTGATAAATAAAAATGATAATGAATGTTTATCGAGGCCTCTGAAAGTCCTTCATTGTTTGCTTTTACAAGTCACAAATACTTTGTTTTCGTGAAGAGATGTCAGTCTTTTTGTGCATTTTAGGTTTCCATGAGGTAAATGCTGTCATCCTACTTAAATCATTTAAGTGTATAATGCTCACCTAGATGTGATTTGAGTGATATGATTTGAAGGAATTAGTACAATTCAGCTCGAATGATAACCAGCAATTAAATTAAACAACTCAAGTTTTAGGGTCTCTTGTTAAAAATAAGGCAAAACTTGTTGTGGGATAGCTTCCCAATCCCGCTTTGGCAAATGGTGACAGCGGAAATGAAATCGGTTGCATCTTACCAAGATCAGGCCTACAGAACACAAGGGACGCGTGTAAATAGAGACTCAAAGAATGTATTTCGAATACGACCATGAGTAATGGCAAAATAGCGATCCCAATTACAACAAGACGCAAAAGGCAGCGGATCAAACAGTATCCACAAACACGCACACAAAGAAGACATTCCGGTGATTATAGTGGTGGTTAGAATGAGGTAGGTAAGAAGAAATGGATGAATGACTTGATGAATGGATGGCTGACTTCATCGATAGTTAAGTGGATGGAAGAATCAAGCAAGAATGTTGTGCCATTCAGCCACTTGTTTCCGTGGGTTCTCAATAGCTTTCTTCCAATGTTCTTGCGCTCTCTCGTTACCGCAGCAGCCGATGGTGACACGACCAATCACTCTACTGGGTGAATCTCGCTCCCAATTCACCAATCGAAATTCCAACCTGATATCTTCTAATTTCGCATTGGGAGGTACCTCCAGAGCAAAGGCCTCATTGAACACGGGATTCGATGTCCGCTTTTTGACATGGGTCTTCTTTTTGGCAATACGTCTGTCGTTCTCCATAAAGTAGAGCTTTACGTAGGGATTTCCTGGTAATGGATGAAGGCTGCTATGCTACACACTGGATATCATTATATCGGATCCGTGGATATGAAACGTTGGATTTAAGTGTCGAATACAAGTGTCTTTTCAATAGCACACAGTAGTTATAGACAAATCCACCCCCATTACTGCCGCCAGTAGCCGGTCAGTCGAGACACCGTCACGATAGCTTTCGCCAACAATAGTACATGAGTGTATGCATAAAACCATCCAACCGATACGTGCACATTGGATACCACTCTGATTTTCCGCTTTTAACTAGCGCAGAAAGTAAAATCTCCTAGCCAAGGATGGTTCAGACTTACAAACAAACCTGCCAATCCAGGAGCTGTTTTTTGGGTACAAATTAAAAGCTAGAATGGGTGTAGCGCTAAGCAAGTGCATGAAAATTCGTCATTTTGACTTTAATAAATTAAACTGTCACAATTCAAATGACATCTCCCCGCCCTTTCCACTCACGGAGTAATGCGGAGTAAAAAGTGGAAGGAAATTACTTGGCTACCTGGCACACGATCCATGCTAACAATCTTGTTTTAGGAAATTAAGCTGCAAAAGTCAGGAATTCATGAATTAGCTTCAATGTTTGCCATGAATACTAGTCCGCAATAAGTAGTATCATTCATCCCAAACACAAGAGACTTAATATGGCATGTTATGCCAAGTTCGTAAGCGCAAAAATAGGCATTTACCACCTCATACCCAATAAACAAACCACCGATGACAGCATTGTTGATGGAGAAACCCATAAAACGCATGAATTTTGGTAAGGTAAGTAGAATTACGCCGTCATTGTCACTCAGCTATAAGTTTTGTAACCGTCTAACTTCTTGGAGTGTATCAACGATTTTACAAAAGACGGGAGACTGATTTGAATCTATTCATTCAAAAAAGTAGAAAGGCGTAAAAGTTGATTTGCTATTTGCGGAGGGAAAATACCTCGTCCGGGAATTAAAAGTACGCTCTAGTGTACTTTGTACACTACTTTGGTAAAACGGAAAAGAAACCCATTAGTTTAACTGGCACTACAGCTTTTAAACACTTAGTGCTTAACCTGTTCCTTGCTACCTTCATCCATGCTTGCAACATCCCTATTTTCACATCTTAACGCGGCGACACATATATGTGACGATGGACATTGGTTACACGGAATCGTCTTAGACAGATTGGCTTAGGAAGGATGTTTGCTATCCGGGAGCAACTATGCTACACTTCCCAGTTTTTGAGCAGCATCTGAAATAATCAGTCTGGTGGTCCTTGTGTTGGTGGCTGTGAAGGGCAGTTTTCCGTGAGATCCTGTTAATAAAAGTACAGTGAAGGCTTAATAGCTATTTTATTACCTGATGACTCGGCGAGATCAACTTTGGGAAGGCCTTCTGCCTTGAGGACAACTGCAGTTAGACGACTTGCCGCAGGCAGATAGCAGAGGCTTATCAGAAGCAAACCGCGATTCTTATCGGAGGGCTTAAGGTAAATGGGGCACAATAATTTGAACTAATCTCACTTTTACCTAACGCTAACCTTCCCAGTATGTGTTGTTCCGGTCAGATATGAAAGCTGACAGCTACTTACGGAGCCAGAAATATGAAGAATAACTTTGCTATATCTATACCTACTTATAGAAGTCATTAGTAGTAGTTAACAGGGCAAGTCAATGTAAGGCTTACACTGAATTTGCGCTTCAAAATGTCTCTAGTAACAGTCGCTTCCTTGGTGAGATTAAGTTCCAGATCATTGAGAGGGCAGACAACCTCACCGATAATGGAGTCCCTTGAATGTCGATCAAATCCAACCACAATAAAGTGCAAGGAGCCAGATTTCAACATACTCAGCGAAACTTTGTTCATTATGAAAGCTTCGCCAAAGAAGGGGTTATTGGAACCTCTAACCACTCTCGTTTTTACACGATGTCGCTTCTCTGGTAGAAGTTCCAACTTCACGTAGGAATCTACTGTGTTCAAGTTGGGATCAAGCTGTGGTAACTCCACACAACGCAGAACGGAGACTTGCAACTCCTGAACATTGTTGTCATACGCAACGGTGAATTGAAGCTTTCCAATGCCCTTGATTGTGTGATTTGCGGTAGGTGCATGGACCTCCTTTCCATCGACAGGTTTGTCTGAACTCGGAAGATGGCGGCATGGGTTCAGGCCATTGCCAGCTCCTGAAGAACCTGACCAGGATTGGGTAAAGGAATGAGGTTCATCTAGCAGTTGTTCCCTTCCAAGACTCAGAGTGCGATGGACTTCTCTTCTCGAGGTGTTCCGCCCCCCATGGGAGATTCTGCGGCGTCGACGGACCAGGATGTAGGCAGTGATTCCCACAGCCAGTACGAGAAAAGTGAACCCAACTATGAATGCAGCGGTGGCGCCAGGATGTTTCATCAGAACGGAATCTAGTGCACCAAAAAGAGCTGAGTTATTTAGATAGGATAAGCATCAAGGAAAGTGGGAAAACTTTATCCATTCAAATTCGAATGCGAAGGAAAGCTATGCATCTGTCATCCTAACCGAAAGTAAAAATAGTGATTTGGATTTTTTGTGTTGTTTCGAGAAGGGAGAGCGTGGGAAGCCCTCAGAAGGCAAGCTGTCACGTGACAGAGGCAGGAATAATTCAGTCCTCGCCTGAATTATGCAGGTCAGTTGTCCTGTGCCTCATTGATTCGCCCTTAGCCAATCATAACTATAGCACGAGCATTAAATCGGGCAGAGGGCAGACACTCGGCGCAAGTAGTTAAAAATGCTTGATCTTCCCATAAATTTATTCGAACATGATTTATAAGTCCCGTACATAGATATTGGAAAGGTATTTTTCAGAAAGTCACAACTGTTTCATATAATCAATGGAATATTTTGAATGCATATATAAATAGAAGTATTGGGGAAATGTAAATACTAAATGAAACAACACCACATATTTGTTCCAATTTACTTTATATTATAGAAATTGCATGCTCTAGCAAAAGCTCTTTAAAAATAATTTGGAGAGTCAAGGTCGCCTCGCAAACGCGTCAACAGAAGTGCGCGCATACTGAACGTCATTTCATTGTACCAGTTTGGCAATATCCATGCTACTTTGAATTCCCCTTTCAGGAGAAGACAAGTTGATGCTAGTTAGTTTTATAGCTCAAATTGACAAAATTGGTTGGTAGTTATTTGCGGCCTGTGGCAATCCAGTTAGATTGAAAAATGAGGGAATGTAGTAGGGTGTACTTCCGCCTAGTATGTTGCTGAAGCGCTTGTTCAGTTGCATAACTCGTAAAACATTACAAAAATGATGGTAACGTCATGAAGGCTACTAGTGCAAGGCGAAAAAGAAGGGTTGATTAGCAGTGGACAAAGGTGGTAATAAACACCCACAGGCATCTCAATTCTCAGAAATTATGCATGGTTTCTGTGGTCTAAATTTATTAGTCCCGCAGAGGACTGTTTTTCTCAATAATGATGTCAAATGTAGGTAACGGCGGAGTCATTTTGGTTGCGTGATAATGTAGAAGAGTACACTGACAGTGCTCTTTTAAGAAGGAAGTAACTAAAGCCCACATCGACTAACCTAAAAAGGGGTATATTTTATAATTGCGAATTGACGCAATTTTGCCGTTCTCATAACAGTACGCTAATCCCGGAAATTCAACTGTCCGAGAATCAAAAATTAAAGTAGAAAGGGGAGACCGAAAATCCTACCTTTGTTAGTCTGCTTCATTTCCCTCCACCACTTATCGGTATTAAGTCCACTCGAATGATAGGTGATCGCTCATGCGGCAGCGGGAGAGGCGTATCTCGCTCACTCGTTCACATATATTCTGTCTAATTTTGTCCTCCTCCATGCCCCGTCCATGCATGTTGATTGGTTCGTTGGGTGCTGTCCACGCCTACGCAAGTCCATCGCACGCTTGCGCCCTTTCCTCTAGAGCACAGACGCGAGTGAACGCTAGAGGACAGTTAGTAGTCCGGAGACACGTTGAGGACTACCTGAATGTACGAGGTTATCATTTCCAAACCAAAGTACACCTAATGGCCAAGACTGAATAAGTAGTGGTCTACACTGCAGAGATTAAGCAACTATTCAACAAATTTTGTTCACTGAATTGCCATGGAGACCGCTTAGCGTATTTTGTGGCAAGCTTTAAAATGGAGAATGACGACATATTTGTAGAAAAGTGGTAAAGTTATCCAAAATACACATCTTGATGCCATAAATGGCAATGATTTTCATCCAGGCGCAAGTCGGAGGAGAAGACACGGGATAATATAATTGCTCAAGGTGGTTTTTATAGACTTTCAAGAAGGCTATCATTAATCCAAGCATTAAAAAAATAGGGAGATGGGTTGTTCTAGACCCCTTAAATGTCTCCACTTGTTGGGATTATCCGCACTCTGCCCAGTCAGAAGCCGGATTTTTGGTGTCGCAGCCTGCTACACTATGCAAATTACCTTAACGTCATCCCATCTTTTATGACCGGTTAGCTACAAATGCGGCAGCGCTTACCTGTCACCTCAGCCTAAATCTAAAATCCTCCCAGAGAGGTTTGAGGTGTGAGATTTCACACTGTCTTAAAAGGATTAAACCTTCATCTCACTGACTGACTGGTACGGAATATTTTTGAATGTGTAGTTTTGCTAAATCCTTAGAGATTTTGTTATTCCAAGAAGAAACAGTTGTAGAGTAGCAACGAATTGGTGTATTTAATTGATTGAAATTGACATATCTTGTGAAAAAGCACCGATATCCGGAGGAGTGATCTTTAAAGATGATGTAATGCAAGTAAACTTGAAGGTGGATTTATTAGACATGTGGCAATGAAGTGGAAGGCCGGTAGACTAGACTGTTTCGGTTGATCTTCCATTCTATCGGGTCACCAGCCAAAGTAAAGCAAATAATCTACAAAACACTCTCAAATTCTTTGTTTGGATTGTGATATCGTAATTCTTAACTAGAAAACTAATCCTTACAACTGCGGTATTTGGGTTTTCAAGTTTGTTCATGTCAATCGAGGACTTCCAGGTATCGAAGGAAGAAAGAGAATTTAAGGGGTAAGAAAAGCAGGTCAGAATCAAAAAGCTCATTTTTTAACAAATGAAGGCCAAATCTTTTTAAATTACAAGTTTGAAAGTTAGTTTATCGCCTGTTCAATTCTAGCATACCCAAGGTTAAGCAGCTGCATTCAGTCTGGAATCAATGGTAAAAATCTTAACGCAGACGAGTGCTATGTTTTAAGCTGAAAACCACAACAAACAACGGAACAATTGCATTCTAACGCTGTCCTGATGAGCAGTCGAGCGACCAGTTACCGTTCTGTACGACGCTTGAAGTCGTCTGAAGATAATAGTAGATACCCACTGCTCCGAGTTTTACCCCTTCTTTGACAAGAGTCCTGATTTAACAAGTTTTCGAATGAGACTTCACTTAAAAATATAAGCAATACCTACCCTTCGGTCGGTTCTAGTGATGAATTGCTCTGAAATTCTTCCTTGGTGAGAAAGATTTATGTGTCATCAAGGATTAAGAGAACTAGAGGTTAATGCGTCACCACATAAATTAAGAGAAGCTTTTCTTCCTTTAGGTTTTATTCTTTACAACATTTCTGGCCTTTAAATTGTCTGATGACCGACTGATGTGGCTCCGGTTTATTTGCAAATCAGTGATGAGCTAACGAACATTGCCTGCTCCACAGTTCTAAGACTTCTTAGATTCAACCATTCTT